CTAACGAGGCTTCCCACGGTCTAAATGAAATTATGGAACTCATTGAGTTGAGTTTAGTAAATTCATTTGGACTAAGTGATTCCAATAGAAAATAGTGGTGCAGGGAAATTAGCAGGGATGGACTAACCTAAACTCCCCCCCACCTAGGGCTGTCAATTTTGCATGTTGTTCGTGAACAGTTCGTGTTCAGCTCGTTTGTTAAGTCTAACGAGCCGAACACGAACAAATTTGTAAGCTTGAATAAATTTTATATAACAATATATTACATATATTATTTATATAATAATATATTATATATATTTATGTGTAATTTTAAATTATAACACCTCATGTGGCAATGTGGTTAGTGTCTTATTTTGCATATATTTGATCCAGGTTTGAATCTCACACTTTACATCTATTTTTCTCAATTCTAGTTTAACGAGCCAATTTCAAGCCGAACACAAGCCGAACACGAAAACGAATATTGAAATTGAGCCGAACACGAACACACTATTCACGAGCCGATTTCGAACACGAGCTATTTCAAACGAGCCGAACAAGAGTCCAGTTTGAGCTCGCTCAAGCTCAGCTCGTTTACAGCCCTAGGCGATATTAATACAATTTAGAAAAACCTGACTACCTTTTTCACATTTGATTATATATATATATAAATGTTTAATAAGTAATATTACTACTATATTTATGCTGATATTAATTTTGGTTTTGTTTTTATTATTGGATCCAAGGTTTGACTTTTCTGTTTTCTAATTTTTAGAAATTTACATCATGATTTAATGAGTGGAGATATAAATCATCTTATGTTATTATGAGATATTCTAATTATAATTGTATGGGTATCTTGGTAGGCCAAAAGTTGTGTTATGTCTTCATGCTTGTTGGTTTATATAAAAAATTAGACAAAATTAAACATATTGTTATTGATTTTATTTTCTAAGAATATTATTACTGCAAATTGCAATGAACGGTGTTTATAACCATAAACGTGACAATATCAGGAAAAATATTTACAAACTTCCTATAAATCAGACCAAACGTGATTCTAATTGCTTCAAATGGATTGATGAAAGAATGATACAACTTCTGGCAAAGAATATGCTGACAGAAAATATTTTGAGGATTTAGTTAAGAGAAATTATGAGAAATCTGCGAAGAGAAATTATGAATTGAAATTTTGATAGCATCCCATGATTTCACTATTGCAGCTATTTTTAGTATTTATGTATCTCATGTTGTTTATGTATTAAAAATTATTGATGTAAAAGGTCGATGTTGTTAAAGTAATGTTTGGGGTTTAATTCAATGACGAACTCGAGATATTTTGTTGTCATTCTCTATGTAACTT